GATCATCCAAGACACATTTTAAAACCAAGTCTAACAGGGCAAAAGCATCCTGAAAGAAATCTGTCAATTGACTGAAAACACGTGTAACCATGGTGACTGTACACAACAACAGTGGTGCCCGCTGAAGCCTCAAAATGTTTAGAAGATATAAGATACTGATGAAAACTAGACTAAAACTAACAAAAATCAAAAGACTAAAATTTGACTGAAACTAATATAATGTACTTTTTTTTTTTTTTTTACCAAAAAGCAAAAACTAAGACAAAATCAGGTGCCAAAAATTTCACTCCCTCGATTGATGGCTGAACTGCTTTTACTGATTTAAAAAAAAAAAATTCATAGGTGCAACAGAAACAGCGCAAAACAAAAAAAGTATAAATATATATACAGTGGTGTGAAAAAGTGTTTGCCCCCTTACTGATTTCTTATCTTTTTGCATGTTTGTCACACTTTAATGTTTCAGATCATCAAACAAATTTAAATATTAGTCATTATCAGTCTACAATGTCAATGGTAGGTTTATGTGAACAGTGAGAGACACAACAATAACAAAAAAATCCAGAAAATGCATTACAAGAAAAGTTATAAAGTAATTTGCCATGTACCAAACTGTACATAAAATAGTTAAAACTAACTCCACCGAGTTGTCCAAGGGTGTCAGGGACAAGATTGTGGCCCTACACAAGGCTGGAATGGGCTACAAGACCATCGCCAAGCAGCTGGGTGAGAAGGTAGTAGGTTGGTGCGATTACTCGCAAATGGAAGAAACATAAATTAACTGCCAATCTCCCTCGGTCTGGAGCTCCATGCACGATCTCACCTCGTGGAGTTTCAATGATAATGAGAACGGTGAGGAATCAGCCCAGAACTACTCAGGAGGAACTTGTCAATGATCTCAAGGCAGCTGGGACCATAGTCACCAAAAAAACAGTTGGTAACACACTAAACCTACCATTGACATTGCAGACTGATCATTTCTTTGTTAGTGGGCAAACTTACAAAATCAGCTGGGGTTCAAATCATTTTTTCCCTGACTGTACAATTAAAAAAAAAAATCTTTCGACTTGGAACGAATAGTTGCAGCCTGCAGATCTGATTTTCATCAAAGTTCTCCTTTGGATTTATTTTTGTCTTTGTTGTAGAGCTACACCATTTACTCCATCTTGTGTTGTGTTTGGTTAATATGTTGTATGACATAGCTCACGGCAGTCCAAGTACTCCCACCAGCCAACACACTAGAGCTTGTGGCACTTCCGATGGCAGAAACTAACAGCGTGTCAAAGTGGGAGGCATGTTCTTAGAAAGCACTTAGCGACAGGATCTGAAATATTGTGATTGGGTACATACTGTTGACATGTTGCTGACCGCATCATGACAGATTAGAGATAGTAGGATGCTACACTGTAAGCATGAAGTTTATTGTGTTAGATTTTTATTTTTTCTTTTCCCAGTTGAAGTTGCTGACTTCAAGCAGAAAGCACGGGTCCTAAGCTGCATGTCTGTTGTTGCCACAGCCAATAATTTTTGTCTCCAGAACACCACTGGTGCTGCTTGACTGTATCCTGCCTCACTCCCCAACGCATCCCAACCCGCCCCTAATCTGTATCTCTTCCTTCTTCTCCCTCCCCTCTACAACCCATTCACCTCTCCTCTGTGTTTCTCCGTGCACTCCTCTTGTACCAGGCTTTAGTTCAGCTTCACTAACCCATGCCACACACAGTATAGATATCTATGACACTACGTATCCTGCCGGTAATCTAAGATATCATTTGGTTCCAGTTTCAATGAGGGAGTCTGCTCAACACTGGTGCCAGAGAATGTTTTTAACTGTGCTGCAGATGCTTAGATATATCTTAGATCCACTGTTTTCACACACAGCTCAGCAGCAGGACAAACATTTTGTTACACAAACACACCAATAACACAAAAGAATGAAGACAAGAATATGCAAGAGAACAGAAAACCTGCATTTGACTAGAGTTTGAGAAGCACCATTGCTGCTGTGACTTTCTCATGAGGTTGGCTTTTATCATCCTCTCTCTTGCCTCGAGGCAGTCTATGCAGATGCGGGCCCTGCTCAGACAGGTCGGGCAACATACTGCTGCGACGACACTGGAGTTAAGCTCTCTTTAAAACATGAACATAATGACACAAAAACGTCTCACAGGAACGAAAGGAAGAAAAAAACGATTATCCTCTTTTTACCCAGAATTTTCTTTTGTCCTTTGCTTGTGTGAGAAATCCTGTGTCTGAACCAAAAATATCGACGAGATAATGTAGACAATAAGAGAGAAAGACATTGAAGGAAACATGCACACAGAGGGTTAACTGTGATCTATGTGGAATGTGTTTGAGAAATCGACTTCAAGTGCCTTCCTGATGAATCAAGAGCACATGAGGTAAACCCTCTCTGCTGCGGTTGGCATTCATTTGCCTGAGGGGTGCCTATTTCATTTAACCTGACTTCTTTGTTCCTGACAAAGTTGTATTTTGCATAACACCAAGCACTGAATGCTACAGTGATGAAAAACAACAGAAAAAGCAAGCAACAAAAATGATGCAAACCAAGTAGGATGCCAAAAGTTTGGACACATTTCCCATTCAATTTAATGGGAAAGTGTTCCCAGACTTTTGACTGGTAGTTTATACAGTATAGTTGTACATGGTCAAGATGCTCCATTTGAAGCAATTACTGTACACTGACTATCAGAGGATCCCCATGTAGACAAGACAATGCTTGTAAAGCTGAAGTCAATTATTGACAGCTAAAACCCGCGCTGTGTTGAGTTTTTGGCTGTTACCTTGTGATTTATGGAATCCTACAAGCTCACAAACCAGTTCATATAAGCAGTAAAAAGCCTGTTCTCTGTCTATAACTAACTGGGTCATAAATGTATCAGCAGCATGACAGGCAGAGACGATACACAGTGTTTTACAGATGACACTGCTGTCTTAACTGGCAGAATAGCAAAAAGCTTCTAGAAAATAGAACAGATATAATAGGCTCTGGCTGTAACCATTTACTTTTCAGTCAGTGTAATTATACTTCATATTCAGAATTAATTCACAATTGGTTGGTATAGACAAAGATAGCCACCGCGATGCAATCGGCCCCCTGGTGGCTGGTTGCAGTAGAAGTCATAAATCCCGCCTCCTCCATGTTAGCGGATGGGACACGAGCCAAAATCAAAACTCAAAGTACAAACCGAATACATTTTTTCTCTGAGGTCCCTTCTGTGGTTTTTTTGTATTATCACAATGATGTGTGTACAAGTGGTCATTTTTCTGGTCAATTTGTTATGTTACTTGATGATATAAGTAGACGTCCACTCCTCTCACTCCACTTCTGGCAGCCATTGTATGATATTTTGCATAATGGAGGGAAGTGGTGACACCATGTGCATCATATATATGTCAGTGAGCCAGCCACAGAAGAAGACAGGACAGATTACTGATGATCCATGATTTTTTAGCACCTAATCCAATAATATCTGCCAGTGCCAAGTCTGAGCTAACAGATGTTTTCCTGAACAAACCAGACTTAGTATACTCTTAGCCTAAAACAGGCCCACATTAAAAATTACACAAAAAGAAATCTGCTGCCAAGAGATGTTAGCTTCTGTAATTGCACCTGTCCAGTTAACAATCCCAATAAAGTAAGTTCAAACAGCTCCAGGTTGTGACTGCTTCCATGTTCCAGACTCACTCTACTCATATCTACATGCATATCAGTGGTATTGAAATAAAAGTCAACAAAACCCATCAAGAGCCAACCGTACAACCGTCTTTCACCTATCGAGTCCACTGGGGGTCTGCATTGCTGGTCATGTAGACCATGTAGAGGAGCAGAGCAGTTTTAGCTTCAGGCCTTGGGGTCTGGTCCCTGTTTACTAAACACCTGGCAGGAGGCCAAACTCAGCTCAGCGTGACGGTGTCTGGTTTCTGTTTGCGCTCTGTTGTGATCACTCAGGACCAATGTACAATTCACAGCCATTTAACTTTAATGCAGCTGTCATATCTCTGTGATCAGTTGTTCCTGTTTAATAAAGGAGGTGGTCATGAAAAGCTCTTTATCCTTTTGCTGTTCTTTCTTTCTGCTGTTTTCATGTTCGGTGCCCTGCTATAACAAGAGTTACTCCTGAATTGTGCAGGCACTTTTCTGGCATCAGACTTATAAGTATTCATGAGCGTCATCTTGGACAGATAAATCCACAAAGGTGTGATTACCGATGGAGTCATTTTGCAGATTAAATTCAAATCTAAATCTAAAATTCAACTTGCTGTTCTCCATGAAGTGATCAAATCCTGTGACTTAACAAGCAGGAAACAAATGCATGTGTGCTCAGCTCCTCTTAAGCTCAGTGTAGCTAATGATCAAAATAATTAATTCCAGCAGGGTATTTATTTCAGTGTATTATTAATATCGACTACAAAACCAAATATAGTAACAAACTGACTACATCACTTTTTTGTCCTATTATTTGCCCAGTTTAAAGCAGTAAATACAATCAATGCAAGTGCCATAAAATCTGAAACAACAAATTAATAGCTACACATTGAGTCTACTGAATGAAACCAGTCTTCCCTAGTCAACATGTCAAATCTACAAATAAAGTTCTATTTGAAAAATGTGTGCTGCACAACTACAAGTTACCTGCATTTTCTAACATGTCAGGTGTCTGTGTAGGACTTTAACCTGTCTGCCTGCTTTTACAGGTAAGCTGCCTTTTTTCACCACAGGTAAAATCAGCTTGATAAATATGGAAAAAAAACAGCACAACATGCAGCTCAGCGGTAATGAAATGGTTATTATCTTTGTTTCGCCTCAAAACTCCCTCTCATTTTGACTGAGGCCACGGTGTGTGTTAAAACGTGAGAATACAGGTAAACGTCACGTTAAAACAGTTAACAGCAAGTGAAAAACGAAAACACCCAGGCAGACCGAACTACCGGTTCCCCGGAAGCCCGGTCGAAGTCAGAGGGTCGGTAGAGTCTCTCACCCCGGGTTTGACGTCGTCAAACACGGACGTATCCTCAGCGCCATCCGCTCCAGGTAACTTCACCGGCTTCAGCTGCGTGAAAACCGCCCTTTCTTCTGTTGCATGGGGCGGATTCATGGCCAGTCCTACACTCGCTGCCATTAAAATGGTTACATAAACAAATATATCGTCTTAAGAATTAGATTTACACGCACATAAAGTTATTATTATACACTGCACCCTACTGAAGCTGTAAGCTGTAAGCTGCGGTATTATTCCACAGTCCTGCCCTCTTTTCTGGCTTCCAGGTAGGTTTTACCTGAACTCATGTATGGACCTGCTACCTGGAGGGGATGACTGACAAACAGCACAGCCAATCAAAGCGCAGGATTGAAAAGAAGACAAACAACTGGAGGGCATCAGGCAATGTACTCACTCCCCAGCCACACACACCTGTACTTTTTTCTAAAACAGTTGCCAAATGAAAACCTTTAGGTTTTTCCTAGTCTTGAATTTGTGATTTTTGTGATTATGTGTATCCCAGTTACACAAAAGGAAATAAACGAGTCATGCTGATAAAATTCACTTGTGTTAAAACCTATTGTAATCATCATTAGACAGTGAAATAATAGAAGGTGGAATTTGGGATGTAGCAGACAATAGGACTTTATAACAAGTGGCCTTTTCAAATCTGTTTTGTTGTACATCCTACTAATATAATGTGTTTTGTTTTGGGGTATTTTTCTCTTTCTCTCTTTACTGGAATTATACATAACTTGTGGTTATAATTAGAAAAAAAGTAGAGTATGTATCCAGTTACATTAGGTATGTATGTAGGTAGGTAAGACTTTATTGATCCCACCATGGGGAAATTCCTGTGTTCCAGCAGCAATAGAGAGCAGCAACAAAACACCATAAGAACAAACACCACACACACATCTTGAGAAACAAATTCCAATTTGACAGACAATCAAGAACAAGAATGATCCTTCCACAATTAATCCCTGAGAGCAAATCAAAATATAGTATTCAAGAGATCAAGAAATCAAGGACAAGAATATTACTCCCATAATTAATCCCGCAATGGGGGAAATACCTGTATTTCAGCCATGAGTATCTCTGAAAAACTACTCAAAAACACCTAAAACAAGACAATATAAAGTATTCAAGAGAAATCAAGAACAAGATTTTTGTGCACACGAACACAGAAAATGATTTAAAGCTATTATGACTGTAGATTTCATTGCATGTTACAGCAGAGTCAGCACATCATTAGATTTTAGTCATGGTGAGTAATAATACATTTAAGAGGAACCTACAGACGACAAAGATCAGGAGCATTATGACAAATGCAGGTTTGTTATTTGTTGCATTATCCAATAGCTGGAGAAACAGACCTCAACAAATGACCCCGTCACTGTGTGGAGAAACCTGCAGAACATTCCTGGCTATAGGACCCCCCCACTGTGAAGAACCAACAACTGGCAGATGAGCTGAATGAGGTTTGCTGCAGGTTTTAGCTATAGAACTCGATACCCCTCACCCACAACTGGCAGCTGCTCCCCTTCATGATCACTTTCTTTCCCCCCAGGCCCCCACTTTTGACAATCTGTGAAGAGTCTGTATGGAGCCTCTTTAAAAAACAAAAAAATCAGGAAGGCACCTGGCTCAGACAGCATGACCCCCTCCTGCCTGAAAGCCTGCACTGTATCTGCCATCTTCACATAGATATTCAGTAGATCAATAATTGTATTTTACAGTGTGCCATATTTGAAAACAGTAACTCAGCCATGGTTGCTAAGACAGTGTTCTGGTTTGAGAATAACATAGCTGAAAGGACACTGGTCATGATGACACATGTTAGAGTATGCTTTTACTAAGACATCTTTTGTTTGATGCACACAATGATTTAGTTGCTGTTCTTAAGGTGAGGGCAGGCTGGAGCCACAGAACCAGATCTGTCAGCTGCATTATTGCTGATTATGATTTAATTACATCTCTTGGCTTATTCTACTTTTGTTGTGCTTTTATTGAGCAAACATAATGATGCCATGTGAAAGGATTTGAAAATGACTCTCCACCCAAAATATATCTTTGGCTATGAAGTACTCATACTTCATGTGTTTAAAAGATGGCTGTTTAAAGATTATTTGCTCACTCATTAAAAAAAGCAAAGCAAAGCAAAAAGAAGAACATTCAGACTACCCCTGCAGGCTTTGCTGTTGTCCACACATATGCTCAGTACAATGTTAATGCCCTCATTGGTAAAGTTCCATCCTATTTGCCTGAACCTTTGGTTGCCCATACACACTGTACAGGTCATACTGTAGGTACAACCAAGCTTCAATCAGTTTCTTTTGGATGTCCTGAGATCAAGGTGCAAGTGATGGGGTGACAGAGGTTTTGCTGTGGTTGCACTCAAATTGTGGAATGCCTTACCACTGGGGATCCAATCCATTTCTGGCCAAGCATGTTTTAAAACATCAGAATCAAAATCAGCTTTATTGGCCAGGTGTGTTGGACATGAGGAATTTGACTCTGGTACAGCAGCTCTCAATCTGTTTGTACATATCCTTATGTAAAGTAATAGCAAAGGGCAGGTAAACAATATACCAATATAAGGCTGTATCATATAACAATATAAACAGAGCAATAATCAATGCAAGCAAACAGAGCAATTTGCATTAGGACACAAGGTAAAGATAAGCATAAAAATGTACTAAAAAAAATAGAAACCTGTACATATACACACACACACATATATATACATATATATACAGTATATATATGGCAGAGACACGCGCACACACACACAGTCTAGATGCATTCCATGGATCTGTATGTACAAATGTACAATGTATATTCTCAGGTATTGCACTGAGGGTTATTGTCCAGTCACACTGTCATGGGTTAAGTGTTAATCAGAGTGAAGGCCCAGGGGAAGAAACAAAGCTAAAGTTGTATTTATTCACTGACATTTTAAACCAAGTAGAGCTCTGACAGTGTTCATTTTTTATCAACAATGGTGTATATTATGTATTTTCTTTCTTTCTCATTGACTTTGATTTTATTGATGTAATGTGAAGCATTTTGGTCAAAGCTTGTTGTGTTTAATGTGCCTTATAAATATTTTGATTGATTGATTGATTCTCATGCACAAAAAGCTCACAAGGACACGTGACGGCTCCTTCTTTGGGAACTGATGTACTGTACATTCTGCTGTTGCAAATATTTTGATCTTAGTATAGATCGAGCTGCTAATGGAGCATTGCCATCATTAACTCAAACATACAGTATTTCATCTCATACAAGCAGACTTATTACACAGCTTTTAACAAGTGGTTCCTTCTGAGAGGATTATAATGACTAAAATATCAGATAGGTATTTTATAACTGTTTAAGTACCCCACAGGGTTGTGCACATTTTGTTATGTTCCAAAATTATTCAGTGTTTTCTATGTAAAGCTATTTATTGCTCTATATCGTACTGTGCTGCTCAGATATCCAGGTCTGGAAATTTTGATGACCAAAATTCTGTTTAACTTTCACTCATCTCTATTTATATGTGAAGGCCTCAGTCCTGGCCTTCGCCATGTGAGGGCCTAAACCACCACCAGCAATGGACTTGGGTGGGTAATTTCTTTGTGTGTAGGTTAAATGTAGGAGAAATATATTGTTTATTTGTTTGTAGTTTATGTTAGAACTTTATGTTAAGTTATGTTAATTCCTTCACATTTAGTTGAAATATTTAGTTGAGAGCAGACTGTCTGTTTAGCATTTATTAGTTGATTATTTTGGTAGTGTCTTTGGTCTACCCCTTGTGTGTGCTATTGGTTTGGCCAGCCAATATATATGTTTCCCTGTGTGTGTCACTTGTTAGGTCAGTTGGTTTTTGTTGTGTTGTCAGACAATTCAGTTTGCTGTATTTTGAGTTTCCTTATCTTTTGTTGACCTCTTTTAGGGCCCAATTTATCTGATGTTAATGTTTGTATTTTTCCTTACTTTTGGGTTAATAAAAAGCCCATTATTTTGAACTTTGAAAGCTGTGTCTTTTGTCTTACTGCTTGGTCCCTGACAATATGAGCTGCTTTTTCCATGGAAGTCAAATCAATAGAAGATAGAACAGCCTGAATGAAAGGGTGATGTTCCAGTTGTGTTGCTGAAAGTCTTCACTTGTATCAGGTTAACACAGCAGGCAAAATAAAAACTAAAAGAAAATCAAACAGGATCAGAAAAACAAATAATCCTGCAGGCTGCAGCTTAGTACAAAGGCAAAACCTGTATAACTACATAATTTATTTCAACTGCCAATTGGGAATTTATTCAATTTGTAATGTGTATGTGGAGTAAAGAGAATGGAATGGAAAGGAAGACACTTTAAATGACAAAAATAAAAGATTAAGAAAAATGAAGAAATGTAGGGAGATAAGGTATTTTGTTTGGAGACATCTGCAGATGAGAGGAAACTGGAGACACAGCATTCCTTTGTCTTTTTGTCTTTCTGTGTTGGTGGTGTGTTATTAGGCATAGGGCAGATGAGGATAGTTTCCACGTTCAGTTGGTTAACGCCCTCCAGATCCCTGCTCATAAGATTTAAGGTTAAGGAGATACTCTACATACTGTATATACATGCCCCATAACCATAACAGTACAAAAGTTTTGGATTCCACATCTTGGTCACTGCTTCCTACATTGGTACTGAGCTTTGTCACTGGAACCATTACATCCAGGAATCCTAGGTCCTGATTAGGAGTATTTGCACTGAGTAATGTTTGTGTTGTTAGTTCTCATTTGTTTATTTTTCTAATTGTTCATGGAAGAAATGATATTGACTGGACCAAACAATTGCACAAGGGTAAAGTTATTATTCATTATCACAGTGATGATGCTATCACTGTGATAATGGTGATTTTAGAAATAATGATGATAGTAATAGAATGAATTGATCTTTCTATTGCAGTCATAGGTGGGTGTGACTAAATGAAAGCCTTGGATTGGCTCTTAGGACTCAGAGTACTCTTATTGACTGAGGGAGGAACAACCGTTGATTGTTCTCAGGAATGATGCCTTCAATAAGAGTCTGTATACCTTTCTTTAAGTAAGAGCTTAAGAATTGATTTGAGAAAAATCAGAGTCACTATACTTCATTATATCAGTAATCAACAGTATGTGCACAGTATGAGGTGAGGCTTTGCCAAGTTCAAGGTGGTGAGAGAGGGAGAAGGTATTTTTCCTTTGTTTTTCTTTATGGCATTTTTCACAT